ATCACATGCAAGCTTCACAAATCAGTTTGTACAAAGGATCAACTTGTACAAAGGACCCTTGATGTGCATACATCATGGCAAGCAAGGCGGCTTCCGCCGAACTCACTCACAAGGCGATGCATGCGAGAAAATGGAGCCCCCGTTCTCCCAATGATGGAAGTTGATCCTATGGCAGGAGGTGAACCTTCCAGAGACACGCACGGCTACTGACCACAGGGGGCTTTCACCGTTTCCCAAGGAAGGACGGTTGTAAACTCCTGCGACGACGAACCACACGAGGACCCATGCTCATGAGGACTGCTCCACACCCTAAAGCAACCCTCAAGTTCAACGCAAATCTCCTCGTGTCATGCTCCCCTTCAAACTCTTGAACGACGAACACGGGTGCAAGTGCCTTCAGCCAGCCATCTTGCGTCTTAGTGCTAAGCAACAACTGCCCCAGTCAATCTGAAAGGATCCCCGAAGAACGACGGCCCACTGACCATCCCCCAGTCAACTCCACAGCCGAAGACCAAAACCGATCGTCCTCTGCTGCACCGATCGTCCTCTTAGCCATCCGGTCGACTGACTCCCCTGGATGGAGGAGCGCGTCGGAGACCCTGTAGGCGACAGTCCCCAAGCCACGCCGGGCGACGCCCCCACAAGCCAGGCTCGAACCAAGTCCCCCGAAAGACCTCCCATCCACAAGGTCTCGGTCTCAGTTGGTGAGATGAAACATCAAGCCCCAAAAAAGGAAAACCGTCTCAGTCGCCCAAACCCGTCAACACCGTCCAAACCAACCCCCGCCACTGACCAAACAGGTCCACGCCACAGGCATTCAAGGCCCTCGGTCGCAGCGAGGCTTCGGCTTCGCCTCTGCAGAGGTCTTCACTCTGCCGTGCGAAACGGAGCGCCTGGGGCGCGAAGGCGTTGGCGGCGTGGCGAAGGCGTGAGAGTGGCGGCCCCGCTGGTTGGTTGAACTGCTAAGGTCCACTGGTTGGTCGCACCGGGGCGACCAAAGACGGGGCGGCCAACACAGTGGGTGTCGACATCAATGGCGGGTTCTGAAGATTCCTGGTCGAAATCTACGAGAGGCACTGGGTTCACCCAAAAATGGCTTCAGAAGCACTTTTCAACCGAAACCTTCTAGCCATTGGTGTTGTCTTCACTCCATTGGTTTTGGCCAACTGTCTCCAGCCAACTGTCTCCATGGGACACAGAACCGCTCACCAAACCCCTCCGGATCCGAAGACTCGCCACGTCGACGTCGGAGACGGTCGGAGACGGTCGGCCTCTTTGGGATCGTTCTGCGCCAGGCACGCTCCAGACAAGGCCAGGTAGGCCTCAGCCTTCAGTCAGGACGACGGTAGTAGTAAGTAGTAGCGCTCAAAATGGCAGGTAGTAGATGGTAGGTAGGTAGGGTAGGGTAGGGTAGGGTTCGGTTAGGGTTAGGGTTAGGTTAGGTTAGGTTAGGGTTAGGGTTAGGTTAGGTTAGGTAGGTAGGTAGGTTTGGGACGGAGGGTCTGCGTAGGGGTCTGGGTAGATTGAAGAAGTGAGGTGCCTTTCGGAGGAAATGACATGAGGACAAATCAGGGAAGCTCCACACCATGTGACAAAGAAGTGGCAGCTGTCAACAATTCCCTTTGCTGGTGGTTGTTGCAAAGGGATGCATCACTCGCTCCATGCCCTTCTGGCTGTGGAATCTGCTGATAGAATTATACGCCCCAAGGATGCTATACCCCATCTATATAATTATACTAGTATTAAATACATGTGGTATTCACATGTCATCATGAACAGGTGGGGTAGATCAAGAAGTTGCTCCATCAGCCAATCCAACCGCAAACAAAACCTCTTTCACCACGTCCTCTCCAGTGGTCCTTCACGTCCTTCACCGCCCGAAAGGTCTGGTGTGGGCACCTCCAAGGCCTTGTCCTGCAGCTCCTGGAAGACGTACAACGCCTTCTCCAGTGAGGCCCTCGCCTGGCACGGAAGAAGAGAGCGGAGTTGATGCAAAATGAAAAGCTGTCCTTTTGCCCCAAAGAACAAATAGCCCCTATCCAAGGCCACACACTCACATCTTCAATTCAATCATCTTCACATCTTGTTGCTGGTTATGCACATCACGTATTTGTCAGAACAAACAAACAAACAAACAAACAAACCCACCAAACTAACCAAACCAAAGCCAAACCAACCAACATCAACCAACGAACACAAGGCGGTCATGCACATCACATCCTGTTCTGTCCGTGCCCGATCCGCACCGAGGCGACCGGGTGTTCTCCCGTCCCGGCGCGGAGGTGCCTCGGAGCGCTTCTTGTTGCCGCGCCGCGTCTCGGGTAACCTGGGGAGGCGCCGGGCAGGTGGGCACGAGGGCCGGGGGTGGGGGCAGTCCGGAGGGGTGAAGGTGAAGGTGTGAGGGTGTGTCACGGTTTATTTGCTGGTATTTGAATAGGGAGGTCTCCGACCAAAGGGTTTTGGTATCTTTTCCAAACCTTCCAGGTATTTTGGGGGGGGAGACCCCGAATTACTTTAATATACACCTCTGGTTTCAGTGAAAAGGGTCAAGGTGGAACTCTTGGAATTTGGAAGGAGTTCTTGTCACTTGTCATGACAAGTGCGTGAAATTCCCGGCTCATCCACTGTGGGATCAGATGGACTATAGCCGACCTCGAGATGCAGCTGCTGAGGCTAGATGTTGGTTTGGCATCTCGAGAAAGAGACCATGCTGCAGAAAAGTATCCCTTCTTCTCCGCGAACCCACAAGAAAACTCGGCAGTGAAGTGGGGCAACATCGCCCCAGGGTCTCATATTTGGATGATCCATGGGGATGTGTTAAAGTCTTTCGCAGAAACTATAACCTTGTGAAAACATGGAGCCCAAAGAGGGCTGACATCATAAAAAAATAATAAACTCCCCCAAACACTTACTGTAGTTTAATTTGAGGTGATAAAGTATATACAGTAACAATATGTAGAAATAAAACAGACTGGCTCCAAAACAGACTCAACTGCAAAACTCAAAACTCAGAAAAGGCTCAAATCAGACTCGAATTGGACTCAAATCAGACTCAACGAAAACTCAACAAATACTCAAGGATCAGAAGTATGTGTTGAGTTCTTTTTGAGTCTGATTCGAGTCCAATTTGAGTCTCTCATTTGAGTTGCGTTCGAATCTGATTTCCTCGTTTGAGTATTTTTTGAGTAGGCTGCTGGGTGTTTGTATATTTTGTAGTTTCATCTTGGACCCTTGCTTTCTGGGCCTGTGAAATCGCAAAACTAAGCTTCGAAAATTCCCGTCTCGTTGTGTGTCAAAAGCTCGTCTAGCTCAGCCGAACTTCGAGTCATGCCTTCTGAGGCCGCAAACCTCTTGCTTTCCAAAAGCATCTCTGCTGCACCCAGGAGCATCAAGGCCTGCGACCGTGTTGCCGGCCCTGTCCGTTTGGCCGGCTCCACTTCGTCACCAGCTCGCCCGCCGAACACTCCCCAGTCGCCTCGCCCCGGCGCTCGTTCCGTGCAGCCATCTCGGGCAAAGCTTCTCGGCAAAGCTTTTCGGCCTCCCGAAACCCGAACTCGGGGTGACCAGGCCACGGGAGGGATGAAGGAAGTGGAGGGTTCCACGGCCCGGAACGCAGTGCACGAAAACAACGGATCCCCGAGTTCTCCAAAGAATCAAGGGTTGTTGTTGGATGAAGGCCTAATCGAGCACGCCTCATAGGTGCAGAGGATGAGTGGAAACACAAGTTACCCGGTTACCCGATCCGAACTCCGGTTCTACCAGGACTTCTCAGACGGCATCAGGCGAAATCCTAGAAAAAGATCATCCGGTCTGAACCTCGAGCTTGTAGTATATTGGGTGCTTGAGGCATTCCCGGGAAGCCCGAGTTCCTATCCAACAACGACCCTCACAGTGTTTCGTCCTGGTCATCATCAACATCACTCTGTAGAGACCGTTGAGACAAAGACCCCACCAAGTAAATGAACCAAGTACTTTCAACATCTCTTGAACGTTCTATACAATCTATATTTATAACGCCCACTAGAAAGCCCTGTAGCTCCACCGTCGGGTCGCTCGCAAGCAGTTAGACTTCTGCCAAAGTCATCCCTCCCATCCACCCATCGCTCAATGCGTCAGATCTGGGCCTCTAAAAGGATGACTTTTCGCTCGGAGCTCTCCTCCACTTGGGCAGCGACCGGGGCAGAAAGACCGGGGCAGAAAGACTGGGGCTGATGTTGGACCGATGTAGTGAAAGAACTCACAGATGGTTAGGTTCGATGGTGCCAGGGCACCCCGTTCGATGTCTTAGACAGCTGGGGGGAGTTCATATCAACCACCAGACTTGGGGGCCAAATTCCGCAAGGCGCCAAGGCACGACATATGAGATATGAGAAGTGTTCCGAAATGTTTTTTTTACACCCGCTGCATCACCACCAATCACGGATGAACAGTGAGTCTGCACTTAAAACCACCAAACTCATGTGCTTAAGGATAAAACATGATAAAACCCACTGCTCCCCAAACCTTACGACCACCAAATATGTAATATAGAGATCCCTAGCCAGCGCGGATGCAACATGTGTGTTGTGACCACCCAACCTTAAAACCACTGTTGCCGGCATTGGAGGCTACCAGGACCCCAGTCGCACGATGCCGTGCTCCACGCCGTGCTCCACCGGAAGCACCGGAAGGCCGCTGTTGGTGGCACCTCCGACCGAGCCCCGGCACCTTGTAGCACGCGCTGTGGGCGCGACTCTGCTCGCAGAGCGCCAGGCTGCGAAGCCTGAGAACTCGGTGCAGCGACGCGGGAACTCGCGCGGAGGGCTTGTTACAAGTAGCATCGTGTTACTAGATGTTACTAGTAGTATATAATGCCAGCTACTAGGAGCTACTCCTTGCTACTCGTAGCGATGCCCATTCTTACTAGTAGCGTCCTTTTGTCTCTTATGATGAGCAGAAACGTAGCTGATGTATGGCAAGAGATGCTGCTTGTCTGGACGAAGAAACGTTTTGCGAAGAGAAGCTGAAGTGGCCAATTTGGATTATATAGAGTTCCATTATGCCAACGATCATCTTCCACGAATGCTGAAGTATGTTGTAAGTATTAAATGATGATGATGATGATGATCATCATCATCATGAATGAATGAAGCGAGTCTGCAACTAAACGCCACGAGTCCAAGTTCAAGGGTCGATTGTCTACACTGTCTACACTCTACACCACCCTCCAAGCAGAAGACAAACCCAAAGACAAACCGGGTGCCTCACCACTGTCCAAGAAAGGACCTGCTGCCGCACTGAGAATTACTTTTCACTGAGCCCGAAACAGAAGTTTCGTCCAAATCGTGCCAGCTTCTTGCGGCAAGTAGGAATGAGTTTGGGCGAAATTGTTGTGTATAATACTTATGCTGTATACGTGGCAAAAGGGATTTGCAGGTCCACCCTCATTAAACAAACCTTACTCATCCACCCGCCGCAGCAAGCGAGCTTCAAAACCTCCCAGCTGCTCGCTGGGCTCCCGTGCGCATCCGCGATCACCTGCAACGATGGCCATATTATGCGGGCTTTGATTAATCCAGAGTCCACATGACCCTTCCTTTCTAACATGGTGACTCTGATAGCCACTCATCTGCCCGCTCCGTGCGCTGCCCCCGCTATGCCCCCCTGACCTGGGGCTGCTCCGCTTCCCGAGCACGCTGAAGGACCTCCTGCGCAATCTGGCGCGCCTGGCGGAAGTCCAACCGGTGGACCGAGGGAAGATCACGGGACGTGGGGAACTCTCAAAATGTCCAGGTTTTGACCTAAAGCCCTATGAAACAAACCCGAAAAGGCAAGGGTGGCCCGGGTGGCCCATGGGTGCGCAGGGGGCTGCGCAGGCCCTATTCTATCGGATGGAAACGCTCAACTGTCCATTTTGGCCTTGCTGGTCTCTATGTGTTGGCCGGTAGTTTGCTACTCAGGCGCAGATCTATATCATCTAAGCTTTGGCTCCAAGGGTTGAAACTGTGGACGGGACCTGGAGGATGACAACTTTGACTAGTTTAAGCTGCTTCTCGAGGACTTCGAAGCAGGTCCAGTCTGATCCCGCCCAGTCTCCCGTCGTGTTCTCCGCTCCACCGGTCGCGTGACGAACACCTCTTGATGATCGCCCCGCAGGAGCCAGGCATCCTTTGCCTGGGTGAGATGCTCACGGTGGAAGGGACGCTGTGAGAACGGTGGAAGGGACAGCGCAGGCAAAACCACATGTTTTGGGGATAGAGATCAAATCTCTCTCACATCCATGTGGGAATACTGATCTACACTAGGTCTCACTAGGTTTGTGGGAATACTGAATGTACAAAAACACACATGTTCATGTTCGTTGAATTCTCCTACCTTTTGGCGTTTTGTGATACCTGATATGTCTGCTTTACCATGCCCACGTGCCACAGTCCAAAAGCTGCTTGGCAGGCCAACTCTGAGTTTTGGGCATGTTCTCTTAACACTGATCACACAAGAGTTTCAGAAAATACAGTGAAAATATAGCCCGCATTGTTGTTGTTGTTGTTGTTGGCTATTTCAACATAAAGGTTTCCACGTCGAAGATCCAAGCAGTCCATCTCGTCCTCACCCCCCACGTCGTTGGATCTGCACCAAGCGCCCGAGCCGCCGCAAGCCGCCTTAGCTCCTCGCCCATTGGCCTAGGGAGGCCCGGGACCTCGCGTGCCAGCGTGTGCCAGCGCGAGGAGCGCGTGGAGCGTGTGGGCGACGCGGCGCCCAAACGGGTCCCGTTGGCTCGGAGCCAACGAGTTCGTGTTTTTGGTGTCAGTCAGATGTGTGTGGGATGTGAATGACGAAGTTTCTTCAAGGTAACTTCCTTGGCTGCGCATGGAGTTGCCTATTTGTGTTATACCTCGCTCATCGGACGGTCAAGGCGCGTCGATGGCATGAGGGACTCTCTGGATATATTATATATATATATATGTATATGTATGTGTGTGTGTGTTCTCAATGATATATGTCACGTGGCTGGGATCTTCGTCTTCCAAGGGGCGATCAGGTGAACGGGTTTTCTGTTTCTGTCTGTTTTATGCCTCTGCTTCGGTACTTCCTCTCCGGGTGGATCTGTCATCCAGCAACCGAGTCAAATCCCTTTGATTCTGTTCATCCGAGGCAACCTGTTTCGAGATTTTATAGTACATTGATTTTAATGTTAATCAGTAATAATATCTTTCTATGATTCATTCATGCCATCAGCATCCAGCAATTTATTAAAGGTGATTAAAGCAATGATCATCCTTCCGGCCACTAGGTGGGGCATATCGGTCTAAACTGGCTCCTTGAGAGACAAGCTTCGAGATAGTGGATGGAACAGCAGGAGTGGACCACTCAGTGGACCCTACATGACCCTCGCTCCTTGCTGAGTGTACTCAGTGTACTCAGCTCCCATGCCCATGGAGAAATTGTCCAGGGATTGGAGAAAAAAAGAGCTTGACAGTTGATGAAGCCAGTCGACTCACGTCATCTGCTGAAATCTTCCCAAGTGGTCTCAGCCGCAAAAAAACTCTTCCCAGCATTCCAACTCTTCGAACAACTTCAAACGCATTCCAACCCACTTCCAACAAGGGGGGGCGGACAAGACGGCGGTTTTTCTTCACACCAAACCCTCCACCAAGCACCCAGCACCGTGCCGCCGCCGGCACGTCCTACCGGCCTTTCAGCTCCCGAGCCCATTGTCCAACGCTGCGAGAGCCCAAATGGCAGCCGGTTCACGGCGAGGACACCATGAGGGGGGGCAGCAAACGACCATGAGTTTCGGGCACTTGGCATGGGAAGTTTCTTTGGACCTCCTTCTGAACATGCCAAAAACCATAAGCTCGAAAAATGCCCGTCTCGCAACACGAGGCCCCCAAGCCCAACACGAAAACCCATCAAGCCAATCATCATCACCCCACTCCACCTCGCCCCAACTTAGGAGCAAGGACGCTACTAGGAGCAATGGGCATCGCTACTAGGAACTAGGACGCTACTAGGGGCTCCTGGCCTTACTAGTAATTAACAAGAAGCTATTAGAAACAAGAATTCAATCGAATTAGAATTAACATTAATACATCAATTTCATACTCCACACATCACTCCTCCCTCCCACACCTCCAAGGGCATCCTGGGCACCTTCGGCGCGCAGCTCTTGCGAACCCCGGCGCCTGAGGGGGGGGGCGATGGAAACCGCCGGATGCATCGCGTCGCGAGGAGAAGGTTGAACATGACCATGTTAAGCACCCCCGGTGTATCTAGTATTCGCGTTCAGTATTCCCTGGGTTCTTTGGTTCTTCGTGAAAGCCGTTTTCACTGCAAGTTTGACCATGCTTCACACGGGGATCACAGATGAGTTCCGCACCTCTTGGATGTTTTTGATGGATGCAATTTCAACTTCATCAGTTGTCCAAACGATGTGGGTGCGGTTCAGGTCGCCCTGGGAAGGTTTGGGTCCTTTCTGAACGCTTCAAAAATGGAAGTGGAACATGACCATCCCTAGTAGAAGATTCGAGTGTCCTCCACAGACAACGCTCATCTTCCATCAATTCTCTGAAGGAAAGATGTCCAAGGGGCTGCAAAGGCGCCGAGCCTGGCCTCACGCACACCTGCAAAGCCAACTCAGTGACTGTCTGGCTATTTTTTGTTGATGGCGCCGCGTGGGACGGATGAGTTCATCTGAGTCCCTTTAGAGGTATGGGCCATAGGCCCCCCAAAAAATATGTTTGTGTTTTCTCGTGGTAGTGGTAAGGAGATCGTCAACTCCCCACCAAGGTGAGCCTAACGACGGAAGTTACAATCCTTGCTTGGGCTTCTGGGACATCCCAAACCAACTAAACGTCCGAAAACACCTTGAGATCTTTCCTGGCTTTTCATGTTCGGCTTGACGGGTCGCTTTGGGCAGAAGTTTTGTGCGAAATGGTCGATTTAGATGTCCCAGAAGGCCCACCTTGGAAGAAATGCGCCCATTGCAACAAAAATTGAAGCAACTTTCACATGAAAACGTGCAAAACACTAACTTGAACGAAAACATGGGGAGTCGGGACGTGGTAGATGTTTGGACTAGCTTGAGTTTTTGCGCACTCAGGAAACAGCATGGGCCATAGGTGATTCTTTGCAATGTTTGCCGCCTCTAAGGGGAACATTTGCCCATGACAACAAAAGCTGAGGCATTTCGAACCCATAAACATGGCACGACGGGTGGCTTGGCACACCTCGCTTTCACATCAGGACATTGGTACTGAACCCCTAACAACCAGAAAAGCATTCGACTGTCCCAATACCTCTTGCTATAGCCATTAAGGCTCTTCACTCAAAAAGTGGTTTTTGAATACTTTTGCAGCAAGAACATCAAACCAGGTGGCCCTAACCATTGAAATCGTCCCAGCCCCAGGTCTGGCCAAGGGATGCCAAGGGGGTCTAGGGAGTGGCCTAGTCTGCAAAGCACATCTGAATCATTCTGAAACCCTGTGTCCCACCTCGGCCCTTGGCCACCACCTTGACCTCCCAATCCCCCATAGCACGGCAACCGCCCGACATTGTCTGTAACATCCGAGACACCCGTGCGCCAGCACTGGCCTTGGAAGCTATCGCCAAGTCGGGCCACTGGTCGGGCCACTTGTCATTGAAGCCACTGTAAAAATCGACTCCACGCGTTCCCTCCGAAGACCAACCCGGGGGCCGGGTTATAAAAAAAATACATATATATCTATATATATATATCTATCTATCAAAAGAAAGTTTCTACATCTTGTAAAAAACAGCTAATTTACTGCAAAAACAAGTTAGACCAGCGTAGACCCCAAACAGTTTGTGCGTTTAGGAAGTGAACCACAGAGACAAACTGTCAAGCCGTCAACGGCTCAAAGCGTTCCAGCTCGCGGCGATCAACTCGGACCTTCTGGGTTTGTTTCAACGCTTGGCTCAATCGGCTCGAGGTCAGGACCGGCAATTCTGGCGAAAACAGAACAAATCTACGGAATATGCTGAGTTGTACGACATGTGGCTTATCATGCTTTGTTCTGGCTTAAGTTACACCACCGTAAACCCCAAACAGGTGGGACAACAAAGAAGCATTCCCAAGTCCATTTTTAAAACATGGGAGACAAGAAGGAAGATAAGGCGGACACAATGACCAACAAAAAGGGAAACAAGAAGGGAAACAAAAAAGAGACAGAAGGGAGCAAGGCAGACACAGTGACGCTGTCCCGCACAAGACGGACACTCTTTGAAAGCATTGAGAACTCTGACAGTAACCTGTTTGAGGAAAAATTACCTGGGAGACAAATGAATAGAAATGCTGCGTAGCCAGCGGAAAAGGGCGGACACCAGCAGTGCACGCACTGAACCTGGGAGACACAAGTAAAGAAATCAAATGAATAGAACGGACACCAGCAGTGCAGGAACCGAACCTGGGAGACAAATGTTTGGGAATCACACGGAAGACAAATGAGTGGAAATGCTGCATGGCCAGCGAAAGAGGGCGGACACCAGCAGTGGAGACACGACGGACACAATGACCAAACAGAAGATGCTCAGCTTCCGACTGCGTCCCACCTCGCTGGGGACAATGGGGAGACAATTTTAAAAACATGCGGCCAAAGCACCCACGGGACTGGAGAGAGCGGGACGAGGAATGGGAGCAAGCACAGCGCGGGGAACGCAAGCAAAATCATGCGGCCCGGTCATGCACCCCTTTCAAAGGAGTACACAGGTAAACCTGTTTGAGAAAATCCATTCACAAAGAGCTGCGCCTGCCACCGCCAACTGCATTGGCGGGGCTGCGCAGTGTGAGCCTTGATGCGAAGATTTCGTCCAGGCGCGGCTCGAAGCGCTGATTTAGCACTTTGTGCACTGGAAGCGCAGATTTCGTGGCAGGCACAGCACTTCGTGAACCTCGAAGTGCAGATTTCGTGGCAGGGACAGCACTGTGAACCTCTACATGCAGATTTCGTGGCAGGCATGGCGCTGGGTGAACCTCGAAGTGCAGATTGCGCGGCAGGCGCAACGTTCTTGTGGGTCTCAAGACCTTGAAAGGCGCTCTACACCCCGGGACCTGAAGACCCCTGGACCTCATCTCGGCCTTTACGTTTTTCTAGACCCTGAAACAAGCCCAGACCTTTAGGACCCGTCCAGATCTCAAGACAAAAGACCTCTGAACCTCTGCAAGATCTCTGGGTTTCTAGATCTGTCTGTAGACCTCCCTGCCTGTAAATCTTACAACTATATACCTAGAATGGCTCCTTTCCTTTCCTAAATTTTACCCCCGCATGGCCCCAAAAGGTCTACTACTCCTCTAAATGTTCCTCAGCAAAGGTCTGCTGCCTTGGCGTAGCACCTTCACCGGATGATCCAAGGGCTTGCGCCCACTCACTGTTGCTATAGCTGCTATCGTCATCCTCAGTGGTGGGAAGCAAACCGTCTGCGATCAATGCAAAGTTCATTCTAGATTTTGTCAGCATCTATCAGTGTTTGGTGTGTCACTGTTCACATATGTTACGTTCACAACCTTCACACGCCAGCGCAGAAGTTCAAGAAAGGTCTCAGCTCGACTGCGGTTGCGGATGGCGCTGGCAAGCCGCATCATCCACGGTACTTTGCGACACCGCATCTGAAGAATCCTTGTGAACAAGCTCATGAAGGTAGAACACTTGTGGATTGAAG